TGAAGAACCTGAAGTGTTCAGCGGTCATCGGGGAAATGCAGTGAAATCAGTCTCTATCACTGCTCCCATAGTACGCTGAATGACTCATTGATTGTTGTGAAAAGTCCATGGGCAACGGTCAATTGGTTCAGTGGAATTTCCATTCCACATTTCGATCTGGGCGTGCAGCACAATGAGGGAAAAACCTTTCAATGTTAGATAGGATATAGTGGGGACATCAGGGTCACCATGACCTTCAAACAACCACGAACCCCCTGATGTCATAGTCCCAGAGCTGTTTTCCAAATATTGAGCCAAACAGTGCTTTCTCTATTAATGTGAGCCAACCGCAGCAGTTCATTAAACCCTGCCGTCTGTCAGTTGATCCTGCATATCTGCAGCCGCAGTAATTGTGTGGTGATGAAACAGGCTCAACTACTGATACTGTACTACTTGCCATGAAGACCCAATACATAAAACAATAGGAGCCCTCTTTAACAACCTTCAGAAAATATGACCAGCTTTTCATCACAAGCTACTTGATGGCAGGATATGGGCTCATCAGTTGCTTCATAGATAATGAAAAAGCATTCCTCCTTCCTTTGACTATACAGCTGACCATCAGTGGTGAAAAGTAACCACGTACATTTACTCAATTACTGTACTTAAGTACACATTTGAGGTATGAGTATTTTCTTTTTATACTACTTTATACTCCTACGACATTTTCTTTTTACTACACTACATTGATTTTACAGATTTTCTTAATAGTAACTGTATAAATTCAGATTTTGACACCATACTTGGGGAAATCTTTTTAAATATGATTATTTGATGGATTAAAACCATCCAACAAATCAGAGAATTAACTGGCAGCCATCAGCCTGACCCGATTGAACTGTATTCAACTAAACCTAACTTTTAAGGTCGAATTAGAAGTCCAAACTCTTCCCAAGCAATACGGCCACCATTCTGCATCTTTAAGTGTTAGAATTGGCTTCATCATGCACATGGAAACTACATTCAGTAAATCAAAGCTATGTACGGTAGGAGGCTGAGGGAGTCCTTGACCTTCACATCTCACATTCTAAACTGTTCCAGGAGGCAGTTATCTGGACAAATCCACAGAGCGTAACCCCGAAATCAAGTTCACGTCTTGATAACTGAACCCCTTACAACAGGCCCTGAATAGGAACTACAAACACACTATTGCTGGCTGGATTTCACTTCCCTCAATGCAGCAATAACATGCATAATCCATGGGGTGTTGCACCATTTCCTGTGTATCGATAGGATCAGCAGACTAACCATTTCCAGTTAGAGTAGTAACAGTAAGCCTCGAGCAGTAAATATCTGTCTAGGTTTGTATGCAAGTCAACGTATGGCACCACAGAGTGAACCTTGAACCTAAGAGTCTAATCAATAGTGTTTGAGGAAAAATAATCATGTATTTAAAAGTTATAAAATGTATAACTTCAAGGTAATTGAATTGAGAAAGTGATGAATATATGGGCAGTTGCAGGATATTTTATGGCTGAGCAATTACTTGTGTTTGGAATGGGATTGGCATTTGGATAAACTTTTCTTTAATGATTTCATACTGTAGCGTTTCTGGAAAATAAGAAACTTGAGAGATTTAAAAAAGGAATCATGGGTTTATCGAATCCATGGAATTTAAAAGTCAGGATAGTTCCATCACACAGCCAGGAATCTGTTTCTGTTTTCAAACCAATTTTCCTAAAAACAAGCACTCACACAAAAGAACTACAGAGAATGTCATAAGGTTAAATACAATTACATTAAAATAAGGGTGCAATATGCATAAAAGAGCCTGTGAATATTTGTTTTATACACATTCTGGCGAGATGTTATTTGAGCCTGCGTTTAGGCACTCACACATACATTGGTGAGTACAAGTCTACACATTCTATGTTATGCAATCTGCAGTAGTCATTCAGACTGACTTAATATCCCTATTGTGCAGCTATTATATATTTGAAAGACTAGCAGAAAGTCTTGTATCCACCCTGTATGTGGTTTATAGTTCAGAACTTGAGCCAATGTGCTGCGTTTTAACCATTTTCTCTCCATATTAGTCATTACATTAGAGTCATATCTCACCCAGCAATGCCAACAAGGCATTACACACGACGGCCTTCACATCAGCCTGATACTTCCACTCTTTCATTTGATAAACTGAAGACAAGGTCAGAGGGGTGTAACTGCTGCATACTCTGCTCGTGATCTATGAACGATCGTCTTAGGTTCACTCCTTACAATGGACCCAGTGGAAGTTAGGCTAGACATCGCTTTGTAAATCACCTCAACATCACGGCCAACACTTGACTCTGGACAGAAAACAGCACCCATGACATGTTTATAAAAAGCAATGTTCTTATCCCTTTTATTACTTCCTTTGTTATGTTCAATCGAAAAAGTGGTACAACGGGTCAAATACCAGTTAGATTCCTCTGTAACCTTTGCAAGAAGCAAGAAGCACTTGATATACAACTAACAGAGCTCCATTTCAGTGTATGACCACTTTGAGTCCTAAGTTATTCAGTTCATGTCAAGTGTTACAGCCATCGTAGTGGTGGCATGAAGATTTACCAAAAGGAAGTTACCCAGCACAGGACTTTGGCAATATCAAATGTTATTCTGCACCTCAAGCACATCGAGTATAAACAGGAACATGCAGAGATAACTCACTGATCATTGAGCGACTCATCCTCAATCGCGTTTAAATACACACGCAACAAGGACGGGGCATGTTTTCAATTCCTTCAAAAGTATAAGTGGCACTATGATAGCTTGGTTTCTCTAACAAACAATACCTTTGATACCCTTTATTCAGAACTAAAAAGATGCATTATACCAAAAAAAGGCATATCTTTCGTAACCACTTTTGCTTGACCTTGATATATAATGTCATACAAGGTCAAGGAAAGATTGGAAGACAACCAGTGTTTGGAGAATCCCACTGCATGCACTCCATAACAGAGGTGTGTTCTGTTAAACACGTGCTAAATGAATGTCAAAGTCAATGCTGTACCATTCAAGGGTTCTAAGGATTCCTGTGCAAAACCCAAACACACCTTCTTAAGATGTAAATTCATTTAAAAAAAATGGTGTGCCTATTTAAATGTTGTTGCATTTCTTCCTTTCTTAGGGGATAGTCCAGTGTACTCTCAGCTGAAGAAGATATTCTCGATCTGTGTTGTCATCAAAGAACTGTATTCTTAATTAGGAAAAGGCTCTTGGGAATGTGAAGTTTGCCACAGCTTACACACTGCATTAATTCATGAATGTCTTCTATTCATAGCCTCTGTGTTTACAGAACAAGCTTTAGAATAGCTCTCTATTGAGTAAGCAGCAACAATTCATCAGGGCTATGAGGTTTTAGCTACTGCCGCAAAAAAGTACTTTGAGGTTTATCAAAATGTAACCTTGACTATTACCGGTGACTCACGCTCAGATAAACATGCTCTAATTCACTGTACTACTGTAGAAACCACTTGTTGTAAATCACTGGTATCAATCAATGTTTATTTATAGCCCAATATCATGAATGTTACATTTGTCTCAGTGGACTTTACAGTTTGTACAAAATATCAGTATGACAATATGACACCCTCTGTCCTTAGACCCTCTGTCCTTAGACCCTCTGTCCTTAGACCCTCTGTCCTTAGACCCTCTGTCCTTAGACCCTCTGTCCTTAGACCCTCTATCCTTAGACCCTCTGTCCTTAGACCCTCTGTCCTTAGACCCTCTATCCTTAGACCCTCTGTCCTCAGACCCTCTGTCCTCAGACCCTCTGTCCTTAGACCCTCTGTCCTCAGACCCTCTGTCCTCAGACCCTCTGTCCTCAGACCCTCTGTCCTTAGACCCTCTGTCCTTAGACCCTCACATCGTACAAGGAAAAACTTCCGGAGAAAACCCACAGTTTAAAGGGAACATGGGAGAAACCTCAGGGAGAGCAACAGAGGAGGGATCCCTCTCCCAGGACGGACAGACGTGCAATAGATGCCGTGTGTAAATTGAAAAGATAATACATTTGCAACAAAGGTAGTCCAAATGTTTAGAAATACATGTGTGTATAAGGTATACTGGTATGATGAGATATGATTGGAGCTCATTGATGCCAAACTGAGATCCAGACACTTGACCAAAAGACACATAAGAAGACAACAGGTGCTTTTGTGATATAGGTTATAGGCCTTACCAAGATGTATTGACAATGATTAGTCATTTTGAGAATCTTTGGTGGAAGATGAGTCATAACATCAATATACTATTATTTTGTTGTGGGCCTTTTGTAGCCTAGTTGTGGTCCGACATTATACAATACTCCAAACTTTGTAGCAAGAGTTTTAAAGAGACATTTTCTTGTTTTGAAAAGACACTGCAGAAATAGTTTTGCCTACACAGAGCCCTTTGAGCAAGGACTATCAGATTTGGACCGCAATAATCCACTTGTGAATTAAACAGAACATTCCAAAAGAGAAAAGACAGATCAACAAACCCTGAAGTTTTCACAACACACAACAACAGGAGAGACATTCACAAGAGTATCGCCTGACTCAAACTGGTGTGTGGCTTTTAGAAGTTCGTTTTATAAGTTAAAAGGACAGAGCTAGACCATAGACATAAGATAGCAGCACCACCAAAGGTCCTGTCATTTTCAGTCACACCTTCTGTCTTAACACTTTAAATCTGTGAAGGCTACAGAAAACAAAGCAGTCTTCTCTGTGACCCAGAAGGAGCCAAAGAAAAGCACATGATGTTGTTATCTGCACATGTGCCAATATCTATGCACAGCACATGGCCTGGATGCTCATGACAACGTGTATGTATAGTAGCTACTTTTAGCTGAATTGAGGATGTGTGCATTTTGAATTGATCGTATTCCTGCAGTCATGGTGTGCATTCCTTTCTATAACGTTGCCTAATTAACGATACAAACGATTTACTATGAGCAGCAACATGCCTAAGGTTTCTCCCAGACATATGGAGGGGCTTACCTTGTCCAGTTCATCGTGAAGCTCTGACAGGGTGGGTCTGATCAGCTTCTCCCCAAGAGGCGCTGCTGTCTGCCGGTAAAAATCGATGTTGGGCACGGCATCGATGGTATTGTGCCCAAAAGTCCTCAGGTAGTAGGTGTTGGTGTGGGTGTCATAGTGATAGTGATGCTGGCCCCCTGTGGATGAATGCAAACTGGTCTCGCTCATCACCGTGTCCCCGTTTTGGAGCCCGTCAGCCGGTTCCGGAGAGGCCGGGCTTCCCGCCGCACTCGGATCCGCGAAATTCACCACCCGAAACCGGCCTTTTGCTTCCTCTCCACCCGGGTCAGCACCGGAACCGTCTGTGGCCTTATCGCCGGGTGGGACAGCGGTTGAGGCGTCGGAGCTCGGAGACTTATCCCCCGAAGCTCCAGCTGCCTCGGTCACAATGTCCACCTGGAAACGGCTCTGACTGGGCGTCGGACCGAGCGGCCTCGGCCCCCCCGCGTCCGGCGCTAAAAAATCACATTCTGCTGAGGCAGGGGGTGTTGGGGATGGAGCTGACATGGCACACACAACGGGAACACAGTGTGGGGTTTTAAAAACACGCTCTGGCCCACAAACTTAGTGGAGGAATATTTGAACGGTCACCCAACTGACAAACAGTCAACGGTTCCTCTCTCGAGCGGAGGAGCACGCGCAAAGCAGCGAGCGCTAGTAGCTCGTTAGCTGCCTCTGAACATGAGGGTACAGCCGGGAAACTTTTGGCCACTCTCCTCCTCCTTCTTCCGCGGCTGAAAATCCAAAAAAAAAACTCGATACTACTTTAACTCGCTCGGCTTCTGGACTAAATTCCGTCCCCCTCCTGTTGTTAATAGCAGGATGCTGTTGTCGACCTTGCAGCAGCTCCTCCTTAGACTCCCGGAGCTGCCTTTGCTGCTATTATACACACACTGCAGTCGGCATCATTATAGGGTGGGATCCGAATAAAGGGGATCTCGCGATAAGTAATCGATCGCGACTAATTTTTCATTGGGGAGTGAAATGTCGCGAGAACTCATCGAATAACCCAAACGGTAGGCGTGACGTTAGGGAAGAGATGCAGACGAGAAAAGGGAGGGGGCGAAACTGCACCAACAGGCCTTCAGGCTACATCGTGTATGTCTGTCTGTCTGTCTGTCTGGAAGCTTCCTGTACGCCTCATGTGGCTAGGCAAGGTGTCTGCTGCCATACTCTGGAGTTTATGAGTTAATAACATTTTTTTTATAAAAAAACGATTATACACTATTATAGTAGTGTATTGTAGGCCCAAAACCAAGTGAGATCAGTTTCCCACACATGTGCCCTTAGCCCCATATGTTGAGCACAGGTATGTCTGAGAATTGAACATATGGTCACATAGCCACAAGTAATGTAACCTCTGTACAAGAAAAAGACAGCTGTTGGTTCATATTACAATACTATTACACTACAGTAGATTTTGTGTTGCATACATAGTGGTGAAAAGTAAATTTACTCAAAAGGACTTAAGTACTACCCATTAGAGTTCATTTTTTACTACTTTATACTTCTACTCTACTACATTTTGGACGCCAATTTTATTCTTTTTACTCCACTACATTTATTTGACAGATTTATGTAGGAGTGACTTTGTAAATTCAGATTTTCCCATTCAATATTTAGGAACAACTTTTTTAATATGATTATTTGGTGTAGATAAAACCATCCAACATTATATTTAACTTAAGTAACAAAAAACACTTTTTAAGTTGTTTGTTGAAAAGTTTGTATAAACAGTGTTATTTAGTGTGTAAATAATTCTTAACAGGTTTGTTTGTATACTGACAACATCCATTATTTTCTCTGGCTTAGCAGCTATTGTTTCAGTGAAAGGAAGGGGTGGTGGTCAAGTGGGGGGTCATGAATAATGTTATTATTACATTAACAGCCCACACATGAGAGGGGTGTGGACATGTGGAAACAGCTTTCTGTGATACTGAACCACCTCAGGGTGAAGTAAGTGTCAAAGTCATTTGTACTATACCACCCATGAGTGTGGCCAGCAGTGTTTAAAACATGTTGTCCTGAACCAAATTACAAATTGTCCTTTCGAATTGAGAAAGACTAGATCATAAGTTTTAGAATGATACTTCAAATATAAATGCCAGCACAATGTTATATCATCATAATAATTTGGCCGAGTGTGTGTGTAAGTCCCCATAGATGAGTTAGCATTTTAGCTCTAGCAGCTCAAAGTCAATGGTTTTTTGAACGTGTTTTTGTTCAGAAGCCCAATCTACACAAGCTGAGAGATTTTAGTGACAAAACAAGACTACTAAATGTCATCATGCCAAGCGTTAGCCGGCTTTATTTTATCGTTGGTGACTAAGCCATTTAACCGTGTTGTCTTTATAGCCTAACGTTATTTATTTTTTCTTCTGGTGATTGCATTCACACTTTTATAGAAGTGTTGTTAATATGTGGAGATTATTCTGCTGAAAAAAATGTGGAAGTATCGTTCAATGTGTGTTTGCAACTGAGTTTATTTTCTGCAATATTCTGAAATCCAATGGAAAAATCCCATAGATTTTTGTCAAGGGAGCCCTTTCCATGCTAATTTCCAGGTTGGCCCATACAAATGCATCATCACTGAATCACAGCTGCCTAACTAGGGGCTGGTCGGAGGCAAGCCTGAGCCATCCCTAACTACTGTAAGCTGTATTCAGTAAAACTCAAATAAAAAATGTAGGAAATAGTACTTTACTTCAGTATTGTCACATTATACTCCACTACATTTTGTAGCCAAATGTTTTACTCCACTACATATATTTTACATATTTAGTAACTAGTGACTTTGCAGATTGCTAGTGGAGCCTCGCAGTGGCGAAACCGTGCTGCGCCACACTAATTGCGTCGCATAAGCGCATAGGTGCGCCGCATTTTCGGCTCAGTTGAGGCTCCCTCCGCAAGATGAGGCCCCCTCTGCAAGGTGAGGCCCCACGCAGTCTGCATGATCGGCCTGTAGGGAGGGACGCGGCCCCTGTCAGTAGGACACGAAGACACAGAATAATAATAATAATAATAGATTTGTATAGCACCTTTCAAGGGACCCAAGGCCGCTTTACATGGTGAACAAACAAACAAACAAGAGGGGCAAATAATAGCAGGGGGACTGTGAAGGGTATTCACCGTTCCAGCTTCTAAAATGTGAAGATTGTATTATTTGGATTTAAAATATAAAAAAATATTTACATTTTATAAATTAGATTTGAGTACCATCCTCGATGCAGTAATTGTACATGAAATGAAGTAGTTTTACAGTGTGTTATTAGTACTTTCACTCAAGTAGAGCATCTGGATACTTTTCCACCTGGATATACAACAAAAGTACAAGTGAGGAGAGTAGAGGAAAGGAAAGATGAGGAGGGGAGATTACAGATATGATCCTATCATTTGATATCACAAAGCCAAGTTTTGCCCATATAAGAATTGTGCACTAAAGCCTAATGCAGAATGTGTGGGGGACTGTGATGGGTTAGGGGTCAAAGGCCATGGTGAACAGTTAACATCCTCCATCAGGTGTGTGTTTCTCTGCCTGTACTGCAGCAGGGTGTCACGTTGATAATACCACTGTGACAGCCTCTGCCATATCATTTCACAACAGAGTGGAAGGTCAGACCCCCCAAGAATGTGGGGGCTAATTAGCTGGAGGACTGCTAATCCAGTTAATGCCGGATATCATTACTGTGACACACACTCACTCACACACTCCTCTGCTGCTGCTCTCCCTGCCTCCACATAACAATGCTATTCTGATTCAAATAAGTGTTATAATAAAACTTTATTAACGTAATAATAATACACTTTATTTATATAGCACCTTTCACGCTTGACGCAGCCCAAAGTGCTTTACAGAGTATGACAGAAAATGACAATAACAAAGGAGGAACATAATTAAAAACAAGGTATAAACAAACAGAACGACTTATATCACTGAACCATAAAACAATAAAACAGTGATACTACTAAAAAGTGCTGTTCTAAGATCAAATGTGGACGGCAGTTATTTTATCATGACCATAGTTGTTCAGGTCTTTTGAATCAGTGTAAGAAACTGCAACTGTAGTACTGAAAATTAATGAATGAATGTATGTTTTTGTCCATACATCAGAGCGCAGGGCCATCACATGCAAGTTCTGAAGGAACCGTAATGCCGATAGGATTGGATTTTCTAGTAACATACACTGAACAAAAACATAAACGCAACACTTTTGTTTTTGCTCCCATTTTTCATGAGATGAACTCAAAGATCTAAAACATTTTCTATATACACAAAATAACCATTTCTCTCAAATATTGTTCACAAATCTGAAAGAATCTGTGATAGTGAGCACTTCTCCTTTGCCGAGATAATCCATCCCACCTCACAGGTGTGGCATATCAAGATGCTGATTAGACAGCATGATTATTGCACAGGTGTGCCTTAGGCTGGCCACAATAAAAGGCCACTCTGAAACGTGCAGTTTTGCTTTTTTGGGGGGTCTGGGGGGGTCCGAAAACCAGTCAGTATCTGGTGTGAGGGGTAGGGTTAGGGTAATGTTGTGAATCGAGTGGCCCATGATGGTGGTGGGGTTATGGTATGGGCAGGCGTATGTTATGGTCGACGAACACAGGCCACTCGATTCACAACATTACCCTAACCCTAACCCTACCCCTCACACCAGATACTGCCTGGTTTTCAGACCCCCCCAGACCCCCCCAATAAAGCAAAAATGCACTTTAGTGCAGCCATCTGCAATGAGTTAGAGAGAGACAAGAAGTGGGGCTGCAGGCTGACATGCTTAACTAACAATAATGCTTAATTTATTATAAAATAAAATAAAATCAAGTTTTATTTATATAGCACATTTATAAATGATTTATGGTGGAGCCAAAGTGATGTACATATAATAAAAATAGCCTACAGTAGAGACACTTTACAGCAAATACGTATGAGAAAAAACGACACCCTCTGTCCTTAGACCCTCACATCGTACAAGAAAACACTTCCAGAGAAAACCCACAGTTTAAGGCAGGGGTGCCCAACCTTTTTTTAACCGAGAGCTACTTTTAAAGTTGCCAGTCTGCCGAGATCTACCAGTCCAAATAGAGAGGCGTAGTTACTGACAGCCTACTACCAGGTAAATACACACTTCTACTTGTATAAAACTGACCTTTGTACGATGAATACTTCATAAAATACTGCAGATCCTTTATCTTACCTCTTTCTAATCTACACACATACAAGTATTTAACTGAAGTTACACAACAGTGTTGTTGATACGGAGTTGGAGTTTATTCACACGTCACACTACAGTGGGTAATGTTTTCAAGAAACATTGAACAGTGCTGCCACATATGACACAGGGAAAAAAGAAAAGACTCTGAACCCTTTCTTTGCCATTATATAAAAATAGTGTTGCTACAAAAGTATAAATGAGGCTTACTAATAAGACAACTCAGATCTGAAGCTACACAGGAATCTGCTGCAACAGTGCAATAAAAAAGACCACATTAATCAAACCCTTTTTTTGTTGCATTTTAGTAGATTATAAAAATAAATGCCTTTAAAATAGGATGCAGGCAACAGTTTCTTAACCTGAATTGATAATAGACTATAATCAATTTAAACAGAACAGATCTTAATGTTTGCATTCTTATACCATTTTGTACAATAATTATAATGAATAAGTTCAAACAAACAAAAACTTACAGCTGATTAATAACGGTATCTAACTTGAGTTTTTATTATATCAAAAACCTGTTGAAATGCTACTGTTATTTTTACTGTCCCCTAAAAGCGCGTCGGCAGCCTCCAGGAATGCTTCTTTCACAACATCTCGCGATCGACTGGGAATCTCCCCGCGATTGACCGGTCGATCGCGATCGACTGGTTGGGCACCCCTGGTTTAAGGGGAA